CAAACAAACAGGCCAATGCGATGCAAACTTGTGTATGTTTCTATTAACTGCAAAATTCAGGTGGACGATATCCTGAGAAAATGTCGGTGTATTATTTCTGAGATTAAACACAGTGAAGAATAATTGTAGCATAGTTTATAGGTTGCACGAACATGGCAAGTATGGATAAGATAAGAAACAAATGCAGATATGCAAAATATTTCAAGAACATCTTAGCGTAAGTTTGGTTTGGTCACAAGAATATTTCAAGAAGGGTTTGTCTAACGGGTGCCCCTGAGCATTCATTAAGAGGTGAGAGAGAAATAGAGAGATGAGAGGTAAAGAGAGAAATTACTGCAAATAAGAAGGATCTATTTGATGGGTGTTACTACAGGGACCCAAATAGGGGACACAAGGCATGAGACAGGTGATGTGTCACCATCCGGTTGCATGATGCACTGTTTTTGAACAATTTATGCCAACACTTTAATCTGAACAATTTGACGTCGTTTTCTACACGGATATAGTAGGCGTGTATGCATTTCTTAGTTAAAACGTCATTGCTAATAACTCTTACGGATGCCGAAGCAATCCTAGAGTATAACCTGTTGAATCGCCGTCGTCGTCGATAACTCTTATGGATGCCGAAGCAATCCTAGAGCGGAGATAGTTTTGAGTGACGGTGGTGGACTCCGATGGTGGTATTGACTGAATGAGAATGAAATTTTTTTGGAAAAATGTTTTTCACCCCGGAGTATTGAAGGCGTGGGAATCTCATGTTTGTAGTGGCTTTTTCTTTTTTTTTTTTTTTTTTTTTTTGCGGGGGTTCTCCTTTTTTTTTTTTTTTAATGATGGCCGGTTGATGATGAGCCCAGAAATAGAAGTGGGTACGGTTGAGATATTAATGGGGATATGAGAGATTGTGGGTAGTTGAGGGAACCGCGAACTCGTGATGGTTGAGGGAATCATGGAGGTGTACGTGGTGATGAGGCTGCTATGGATTGAATGAAGAGAATAATTAATCCATAATACTATTTCAGCTTAGTTAGGATTTAGTTAATTAGGATTAGAATGAGAAGATCATGCCGGCATTTATTTTGCATACATGTACGTTACATATTGCTCTGAAACTTCCCATTTATTTATTTATTTTTAACAAAATGATCAAATCCTCCTTAAAGTATTTCACATTTCTGGTATTTAATGCAATTTAAAAGGTGATGGTTTTCCTATTTTAAAATTGGGATAAAGAGTAAAAAAATTTAGGGAGAAAAGTAGTTGGAAAAAACTTGGTCTAGGAAAGGAGGGGACAGACTTGATAAAAACCCATGAAGAAATATAAAGAAACATGATCACGCTATTGATCTTTTAAATAGTTGACTGTGAAATCATAAAATGACCTCATCGGGCCCACAGACATAATTTAAGAGGAAAATAAGTAAATTAATGCTTCTAAGAAGGTTATTGATCTTTAATGTTGTGTTTGGGAGCTCACTAACGGAAGGAAATGGAAGGTAAGGAAATGAATGGAACTTGTCAATTTTCTCTTCACCTCCTTGACCCCCTAATTTGGGGTGTAAGATTTTAGTGTAAATTTTTCCCTCATTTCCCTCATCTATCCTCCCAATAAAACTCTCAAACAATGTTAAACTCAAATTTCTCTTCCCCTTCTCTTCTCTACCCTCCATCCAAAAACAGCATTAAGGATAAGTTAGTTATTTTGTTCAAAAAAGAGTATTTGTTTTACCCGATAAAAAAAAATATATATATATGAAGTAGAAGCTTTTCACTCAAAATTGTTCTAGAAATCAATTAAATTGATCTATTTGTATAATTTTTTTTTATTTTTTATTTTTCACAAGTGAATAAATCACCGCTCAGATAGAGATTTACACTATAACCTCGATAAGCCCACGGGCCTGACTTTAAAATTCAACATGGGCTAAGCTTGGAGCCCAAAAAATTCCTGAAATAATGAAAGAAGAAAAGGGGGGAAATTTATCATGATTCTCAATACTCATCACAACTTATGAGTTATGAAATATTCCAAGACATTTTAAGGTAGCATTAGTAAAATTCAGTTTTATATTGTATCAGTCTCATATTTAGAATAGATTGAAAAAGTCGAACAAGTTTTGTACGTTGTTAAAGGATGAATCACACTTTTGCACTCCCTATAGTTGTCTATTGCATCAAAATACCCTATGTTAAAAACCTTACACTTAAATATCCTAAAGTTTCTGAAAAGTCACACCAAAATATCCTAATTAGTGTAATACATTGCAGCTTTTAGAAATTTAAGGTATTTAAGTGCAAGATTTTAAACTTAGGGATATTTTGGAGCAATATCGGTCAAACGATAGGGTATTTAAGTGAAACTAAATCTTGTTAAAATTTGAAATACAAAACAATCAATAATAAGGATTTATATCATCATCTTGAATAAACCATGAACAAAGACATTGTCCAGTATACGAATCCAATAAAAAAACAGGGAAATTAAGATAATTGTTCTAAAATACATAGAACATACCTTCTATAATATTTATTTGGCCTTCATTTTATCATCACCAGTCAGTTGAGCATCAGTCTGATAGTAAACTACATCTCCAACATCACTCACAAAATGATCAACACTAAGGGGGTGTTTGGTTGCATTGTTTTTGAGAAATGTTTTCTCAAAAAGTACAAACAAAGGCATTTTTGTAATTAAGAGATTTCTATAGATTTCTATAAACTGTGTTTGGCTCAAAAAAGATTTACAGAAATGTTTTCTATAAAGTACAGAAAAGTACCAAATTTTATAGAAATTGATTTCCTTCAAAAATGGGCGGAAATCTCTTGAAAATCTGACGCATTTATTATTTAAATAATAAAACTCATTAACACATTTCTATAAAGTTCTCACTTTTCTATATAGAACGGGGGTGTTTGGTTACATTTCTATAAATTATAAGAAATGTTGCTATTTTCCCAAAAGTTATGAGTCATTTTCTTGTTTTGAACCAAACAAGCAAAATACAAAAAGTAAGAAAATTTGTACTTTTTAACTTCTCAAAACTTTTCCTATAATTTTTTTAAGAAATACAAGGAAATCAAATTTTGAGTGGAAAACATTTCCTATAATTTATAGAAATGTAACCAAACACCCCCTAAGGCTCCTTGCCAAAAGTCCAAATAAATGAAAAGGAAATGGCCCAGATTCCTCTGGTTCTCTGCAGTATTTTCCAAGCACATGTTTTGCTGCTTTTGTCTGGAAAAAAATTAAAAATTACGGATAAGCCCCTTATGCGAAGAATTATTAAGATATAGTAAACATAGTATTTTCATGAGAATACTTACTGCTTCTACTAAATGGTTGTGTGGTATTTGATGAAAATGAGATGTGAGAGACGACGAAAAATTTCTCTGTGTGTGTGTGTGTGTGGTGTGGGGGGGGGGGTGGTGATGTCATGAATCGAATTTGCATCAAAGAGATATGAACCAAATATGAGCAGAATATGTACGTTAACTTTGTCTGTTTTGGAAAAAAACTGAAAAATTGCAACATAAAGCTGATTCATTTCTTAAAGAGACATAAATTAGAATTCAAAACACTTACAATTGTATTATTTCCCTATTTGATTTTCTAGGATTTTTACATTCTCGAGGGAGGGGAGTGTAGTTTTGTAGCTAAGGGGTCATTTGGTTGGTGGATTGTATGATGAGTGAAGATTTTATCAGAACATCCCCGTAGAAATAGATGATCTATACCGTGCATGGTGATTGGGGTTAATTTAGAATTTTTATCACTTATATCTATGGTACAAACTACAAACCATAGATTTTATCACTTATATCTATACCATTCATGGTGATTGGGGTTAGTTTAGAAATTTTATCACTTATATCTATGGTACAAACCATCTCATTTCTATAGAGATGGTTCTGATAGGATCCTTACTATGTGTTATATTCATTCTAGTGCTGAAAAGTAATCTCTAATCAAGGGCAGACAAGTGTCCCACATTATGCGTAATCAAGTCAGCACTTCAAGATAACCAAAGGCCCAATTCGGTCGACTCGACACGCCAATATCTTGCGAGGACGACTCGTGTCGACCCTTGGCGAAGGTGATTGCTTAATCACCCCACTCGATCAACTAATCGGTCGTCATCTTGCGAAAGTGACTCAAAAGATGGTATTTCTTAACCACCCCACGAGTAGAAAGGAGACGAAATATCTCGAGCCTCGAGCCCCATCTCATGTATTGATAATTGTTCACCTCGTAATAAATGTCATTAAATGCATTATGGACGTCATCATTCCTCTACCCCCAATAGTCTTTATGACACATCAGACAATGTCGGCACCGCACACCCCCAATCACTTCGCATTAAATACAGAAGTGACATCCCCTCCACTCGTCGGCCGACACCTGTAAAGCAAAGACTGACGTGGCCGTCATTCTATACTCGATCGAAGTTACCACTCTACCATTCTACCCCCACCATAAATAGGGATACTATTTTCAATAATAAGGTAAGATCTTTACCTCTACCCACTGTGATTAAGAACAGCTGCAATTCATTTTACTTCTCCACTCAAGCAAATCATTGACTTGATCATCGAAGGAACAACTGAGGAAACTCAACCCCGCCCTCTTACGATTTGCTACTTGTACATGAAAGAATAGCCTACTCTAGAACCAGACATTCGGAGGGTTAGACGACCTCCGTCAACTTAATCTTAATCATTTCTTTCATTTGACTGTTTGATATCAGCCTCAACACTATGGATATTAAAAGTGTACCTGCATAAGAATAAAATCTATCCAAACTTTATTTGGTGCATTTGGTTGACTAAAATCACAAACAGCTTTACATAGCGTTTAAGTTATCACCCCAACATTTATATCCGCATCCGAACATTTCAGATATATTCGTACATGTACCCAAAACGAAATTATAAACTACATCGGCATCTGCGTAAACTGGTGTCCGAACCATTTCAGACATATTTGCATCTGTATACATCGTATAAACTTAGTGTAAGAACCTGCAGATTGACTGGGTATCGCCAATACAATAATACAAACACAAACCTAACATCCGTGCAACAATATACAAAATGTGTGCACATGCACATACTGATACATATTTACGTCACAATATCTGAAGGAGTTGCAACAAAAATCTCATATATTTTCAGAGAAAGCGCAAAACTCTTCCCTTTCCGTGTGAAACTTTTCACATAGCAGAACTCGAGCATCGGCATATTATACATACCAATGTACAACGTCAAAAATTTCTCAAAGGTGAGAGGCTTTCAATCTAAAACCCTGTTACCCATTTCATGGACCGAGAAGCAATTTGACAAGTGATCATATTTCAGATATTCAACACGCCACACTTGACATTCTTCTTCAATTGATGAACTCATGGTTGGATGAGGAGCAAGATGATGCAGCCTTGGCCTACGCGAAGCAATTTGATCATGATATATCTGGCTGTACATTAATTGTGGATAGACCACCTTGTGCTATCACCAATTGCGGAAAGACCCCCTGTACTTCCATTGTTGCAGATATACCCTCTGAGTGAAAATTTTTTTTGACTCTTCTATCCTCAGGAGGTCAATATATCAAAAACAATTCTCTTTTCTCCAGGAGTAGTGAATAAAAATTTCATTCAGGGGCTCTATCTGCAACAATTGAACTACAGGGGGTCTGTCCGCAATTAACCATAGAGGATATTTGCTATTTCGATTAGGCTCAAGAGACACTCATCGGTTTGGTTTTTTTCCGCGACTGTTACTTGAGTTCTTCCCTCCAACACCAGATATCTGCCTAAGGTTGGTTAGTACATCCTGAGCATGCCTCTTTGTTTTCATATTCCCAAGCCTAAGTGCTTCAACCAATGCCCTGACTAAATCCTGATCAGTCGAATACAACTGAACAATGCCCTCTACTCTAAATAACCTATCCACCATAGAGATCACTCTCTCCTGAAGCTCTCCAGGTCTAACCGCTTTAAATAGAGAGATCACAGCATCAAAGAGGCCAAGCTGTTCAAGTTCTTCAGAAGCATTCTTAAGGCTGTAAGCATCAGAAACGAGTGTGGAAAGTGCCTCCACCGCTGCTATTTGCACTTGTGTGCTTTCATCGTTCATTAGATCAATCAGTGGCTTAATTGCATTCCCTTTTAGTAAGCAAAATGAACTATCACTCTTACATACTGCACTATGAAGTGGGCATAAGGTGGGGGCCATCGGAACCTTTCGACATAATAAGGTGAAAGGGATGCAAAATCCATGGGAAGGTTGACTCTCTGAATCACTAGTTGAAATTATTACCGTTGAAGAATTAGATAGATACTTCAACCCAAGTGCAGCTAGCTGTTTTGCTCTTTCATGTGAACGATTGCTGATTTGTTCAAGGAATATGTTCATGAAGTTATTATCTTGAACAAGCTTCACTATTTCTCGGTCTTGGCTCCTAGTGTAGTGCAATAAGAGCCCGAGAAGGCCTTGCAACATAATTCTGGGAAACTTTGATTGCTTTCCTGAAGAGGTGGATAACTGCTCTTTAATGTTACTGACAGCCCATTGTAGAAGATTCATCCCTAGGACTTCTTTCACCTCAACATCTGCTAATGGGAGCTCCGCTAAGATGCATGCAATTTCAGATCTCTCAGCAAGTGGACATTCAGAATCTAATAACTTTTCTTTCATCAGTGGCAGTTTATTAGATGTTCTGAGTTCTTCAAGAATAACCTGCCCCAATTTCTTAGCTAAGAGGCATGCAAGTCTTAAAGCATGAGACCGACAACTAGGTTCTTCATGCTCAATGTATGGTAAAATGATTGTGATGGCATTGACCCCTCTTAGGTGTGTAGCCGCTAAATCTGTGTTGCAATAAATTTAAACAAGAAATAAGGACCAAACTTCATTCAGAAATGAAAAAAAAAACTTGATGTGACTATACCAAGCCAGCACATTAGGGAACTGGAGTTAGAGAAAGAGTAGGAAAAATAATTCTTGAAGCAATGTCGTAGCTGAAGAATATAAACACAGTCTATAACAACTTGGGCTTTAATTGGAATTTGGCAGATTATGACCCAAGAACAGAAGTAATAGGCTCATATGTTTAACTTTGGAGAAAAATATGAAGCTTAGATGGAAGTCCAATTTATGATCATTGATTCATTATAGTTCATCAATTCTGTCAGTACGAAAATATATGATACTAGGAAGCAGAAAATGCACTAGGTATTCCTTTCTAAAAGTAATTAAGGAGCCTATGAAGCTAATCTCGTCAGAATATATAGATTAACTTAGGAAAATCCCATCTATTAATAGCTCCAAAAGATTATGTAGTCCCCCTACTTTCTAGGAAATTTAACTGGATGTGAGATATTAATTTTGGAAATTGTAAGGTTCATGTGACCATCCAAACAAGGAGATAGGATGAGAACCACATCAAGATCCCTACAAGATGCCATATGCAAACTGTTGTTTACTAATCTTAAGCCATAGATTCTTAGTAAGCTGAGTTTCCTTTCCTTTGCATCCAAATAAGACCTAATTGTAAAGTTTAACTGTTTAAGTGTTTCATAGGCAGAATCAGGTTCAGTTCCCGTTGTTCGCCTGTCAAAACTTTGAAGTCATGTTATATGCTACCTGAAGATAGTGGTGTTGTTCCATATTTTATAGATCCTGACAATATTCTGTAGGCAAACTTTTACTTACTAGTCTCAACCTGCAGATTCTTGTAAGCTGTGTCTTCTGTCCTTCAAATCCAAAAAAGACTTCATGTTACACGCCTTCCTATCACATTTGGGGTTGGTGGGGAAGGTGAGGAGGGAGTGCAACACACCACAAGAAGAATAGAGTGGCCAGAGACTTAATTGAGGAAGTATATTTTTTCTGTGTTGAAATTTAAGTTCCTAATACATTTATAGATTCATTCCCACTGTGTTTGATGTTTAGGAGAGGGAGAGCCATGTGGAAACCAGGATTCTCACCTGATGCTTGGGGAGAAGATGCAATCCCACAAAGAATGTGAAGAATTGCAGCCTGATATGTGCACGATGACTCAGAAAGAAGATCCGTAAGCCTATGGATAATAAATTCTGACTGCATTTGATTGCCTTCCATATCTGCAGAAGATAATTCCCAGTGCCCAGAGTTTGAAACAATATTTGCTATTGTTGATGCTGCCAACTGCCTCAGATAAGAAGACCCATCCTCTTGAGTTGCGAAAAGAATGTTTGTGAGGGCTGGAAGCACACCCAAATCAACGAGAATAGTAGCATTATCATCCAATGTTGACAGATTGTACAGTGCTTGCAAGCATGACGCCTTCCCCTCTAAGTTGGAGGAAAGCATATTAACTAATATTTGACCACCTTTCCTAGCAATATAGTCTTTAGCACTGTTTGTTAGAGTCATTTTCCCAACAAGACTTGCCATCTCCATTTGGACATTTTCAGTGCCTATGACAAAAGAACCACCAGTCTAGTTACCCAAAGCTTTTTGATGATATTAAGAAAGAGTGACTTATAATGAATAGAGAGTGCGTATTAGTACTCAAGCATACAGTAATAAGTACTCAAGTATAATGAACAGAGAACGTGTCTTAGTACTCAAGCTGAAGCATGAAGAATAGCAATATAGTATTAGTACTCAAGCACACAGTTGCAATGCTTAGAGATCATTAATGAGCCAAGGCCGGTGCACAAATCACAGAGATAGTTATTGTAGTATATACTATTGAAACATCTCTTGGTGAGAAATGGTGGTTTTCAGTTAGTAGGGGAAGAAAAGTAAAATAAAATCAAAAAATTATAGATTTACCTACTCATCAGAACTGTGACCAAAATAGTTCCTGTGTTAGATCCTCTGGAGTTCTCTGATTCAACATTTTTAAAATACAGGAATATATGAATAATCAAACAAATAAAACATTAGAAACACAAGGATAACATTGTAAAAGTGACGATTAACACGGATGAAAAATATATGATACTATGATGAAACGATTTCAAGAACTGATAAATAATTTTAATCGTTTTCGGAATTAGTATATTCTGCAAGGTCCAGAGAACATGGCAAAGCTTTTCTTGTTGAGGTTATGTTTTGGCTACAAATATATATATTTTTTACTCTATGATGAAAGCATACCTCTGCAGAGTCGAGTAAGTAGAGGTTGATATCTTCCTGCCATTGCCAAGTATTCTACATTGTCCTCCACCTTTTCTATGTTTGCCAGAATCTCCTCGGCTAAATTATATAACACAGGATACTCTACATTTCCAGCCAGACTGGAAAGAAGAACCAAAGCCCCTTTCTCCAATGCTATTTTTCTGCAATACCCCTCTACATATGAGAATTCAAGCAATAACCGTAAAGCATACTCTCTTTCTTTCTCCAAACTCGCCGTCAAACTACGAATAGCTAATCTGGTCATACCTTCTTCGAGCATTATTAGCTATAGGAAAAAACAAGAGGTTATAACTTGATTTCATGCAGCTATAGAAATAATATGAACTTCTAGTATAAGTAAGTAACAATACATCAAAATTCGATACATACATATCAAATGATTCTAGTGTATCTCCACTTTATCTTTATACTAGTCCTTTTGGGGCTTCTAGCACCTATGCTCTTCTTTAAGAAAATTACATACTTAACCTTGGCTTTTGCATATTTGCTTATGCGCAAAAGGCAAGGTAAAGTATATAACCACCTAAACATGAAAATTTTGCTTAAAGGACTGTTTGGTGGAAAATTTGTAGTAAATAAAATGAAAGAAATTTGATTTGTATTCTCTCGATCTTAATTACAAATTTGTAGTAAATAAAATGAAAGAAATTTGATTTGTATTCTCTCGATCTTAATTACAATTTGAATTTCGATTACAAAAGAGAGGAATTCTCTCGATCTTAATTACAATTTGAATTTCGATTACAAAAGAGAGGAGAATTGATCTGAATTCTCCCCTTTGTTTAATTCTGGGTTCTTCACGATAGCGTTGGAGTGCCTCCTTCGAATGCTCGCGTCGAATTTGCTCTCCGTTGACGATCCGCACGTCTCAATTCGCTGAAACAACTAACTTGTGTGGCAAGTATGATTAAGAACTCTTAACGAGTTTTAGAGCTCAGAACGAGTTAAAACTCTGTTGAATAGAGTTGTTTTAACCGAATAATCGGTTAATAAGCCAAGTGGATTTGCTGTTGCTGAAGAACGCTTTCCAAGCCTGGCACTTGATCTCGATTCTTGGAAAATCGATCCTCCAAAACTCCAGTCCCCTAACTCTATTGAGTTCGTAGACATTTATAGGGAGATGAGGGGTGTAACTGCCCCCATAACCCACTCCTAAATAGGGGTTTAGTCGCCCCATTAATCGGGTGTAACAACCCACTCAAACCACTCCCCAGATCATGGGTGAAAAACGGTTTTCGAAACTGTTTGGATCACGTTTGAACGAGTCAAAGCCTTGATTTGCGTTCTGGCCATGAACCTGCGTTCAAACATATGCCTTTGGATGATGCGTTAGCGTCCGAGCTTGAGCTGCGTCCGCGGTTAAATCGGTACCACGTTTGTGCTGCGTTCAGCGGATGTGAACGCGGTGCGTTGGAGCTACATTTACACTGCGTTTGTGCTGTGTTTAGCTGCTGAAAGCACTGCGTTTATGCTGTGTTTGAGCTACGTTGATAGCTGAAGATGTAGTGATTGTGTTGCTTTGATTCTGGAACGTAATCACTTGCAGGGATGAGTTCATCATCTTGGTTTGAAGAAATCGTTGACTTGTAATCCCTTCTTAATCTACAGGAGAATCCTCCAATTGTAGCCTTCCTTTGTTAACATGAAAGTTGTTTGTTTGTAACTTTCTTTATACAGAATTCGTTAAATTGTAACTTCTATCCTCGACTCACCCAATGGGTATTAGCTATCTGTTATGATTTTTAGACAGCTTACAAGGATTTACTTTGATATGGAGAAAAAGGAAGGCTCCATAAAAAGAACAGCCAAATGCAAAGGAAAAGAAACACCAAAAAAGAAGGCAAAACTTTATTGATCAATCTTCAGTGTACCACTGATCCGTAAACAAATTAGAGATGCATGAAAAATATCAAAGTAACATATATCTTTAGAGATGTGGAACAATATTCTTGAGGACAGAACAAGATTCATAAGAGCTCATTGAGAACCAAATGAGGAGATTGAGGTAGTTTACGAATGTCACTAAGTGGAGAAGTGATAGGATCATGGTTTGTGAAATAATAATGACTAGACTGAAGATAGACTAAATTAACATAGATGGAAGCAATTAAAAATGACTAGCCATTTATTTAACTGACGGATCATGGATAAAAGAAAATTGACTCATGGATTTGACTCCAAAATTCTGAAATCAAGATGGTGGTGGTTGTTGCAGTTGTCATTGGAGGACACATATCAACATCAATGAAGATGCCTTTGCGAGCAGCAGATCAACATCAATCAAGCATGGTAGATAAATCCCATATAATATAAAATATTTAATTACCATGTCTAAGTTCATTTATCAACATCTATGAAGATACCTTTATTGCTTCAGGCATTATTAACATGAATTCTTATCTTCCATTCAGTTTTGTTAAGGGTTATCTCCTAAATTCAGTTAACTATTACCATATCCATCTTAATTGCTTCCGACAAAGTTCTCTTAGGCCTATCACTAGTCCTCAATACAAGCATCAATATTGATTATCAAAAAAATGAAGAGCATTGTGCTATTTGAATCCCTTTCCCTATCCTTATTGGAAACTATTGCCATTGAAGGTTGGCTAGATAAGATAGACATAGCTCTCATCAATTATATGCCTCTTTATGCTCTACCTTCGCAGAAATTAGTTCTTTAGACTTTCGCCTTCTCCTCTTTAACTTGTGGTCACTTATCTGCACATTACATGAGCCATTTAATTAGTTCTTTAGACTTTCGCCTTCTCCTCTCCTTAGAGTACATCTTGAGCATATACTAATTAAATACCTAATAATTTGTGATCCTACAAAATCATGTCACCTACACATAGCAACCAATATGCAGACAAATTAAACAATACTGGGCAACAGAGTTATACATCCAAATATGAAAAATAATTGCATTTACAATTAAATAAAAGATTCAAACAAGATACCTTGCTCTCATCATCCTTGGCCATGCTATACATCGCCATAAGAGCCTTGCACCTAATTTGTGATCCCACCCTCTTTGACTGGTCCTTGAGCATCCTCACAACCATACCAACAATCCCAGCATTTCTAACCTTATACCTAATCTCCGGATACTCCTCCGAGATCCTATAAACACCCTATTCAAACCCCCTTCTCCAAGACAATGCAGCGCCAATTTCACTTGCAACTCAACATTCCTATTAACCCACTCCTCGATCGCACCCTTAAGCCCAATGTTGGGCTTCAAGTCCAATTTGTTCAACACTTGCCCTGTAATCGGGCAAGTTGGATCCCTCCCGTCCTCTAAGCACCGATCAAACCAGTACTTTATCGCAGTCCTCTCGTAAGTCTGCGAAGATTCACACACCGTCACAGGATCCTTCATCACCTCCTTCGTCAAAGGACACAAGAAATTCCTAAAAGGTGGAATCTGAGCATCCTCTTCGAAATCGACATCAAGTTTCTTATCAGAAATGCGAGGCTCCATTGACCAGCTATCGAATATCTTCTCCAACGACATCAAGATCTTTCTTTCTTCTACAGTGCTAGACGCCAAAAGATCAGACCTGAGAAGCTTAATCTGCTCAGCTAATTTACTATAATTAGCCGAATTCATCCCTAGAGCTCGCGCGAGATCCATGATAATGGCGCTCTGCACGGCCTTGGAAGTCTCTCGAACCTCCGCCATCTTCTGAAGCGTGCAGTATACTCTCTCCTCACTCTCAGTAACCTAGGGTTGTTAACAGCATTCATCAAAACCTAGCTCAAATCGAAGCGGAGAAAGAGGATGATTCAGGAAATCACCTTGAGTTCAGCATTCCGCATGTCGAGTTCGAGATCGGCGACCTTCTTCCTGAGATCGGGGAGCGGCGAGATCGTCGAATCGAGAAGCGCGAGGCCAAGACCGAACCTGATTTCGTTTAGGGTTTGAAGCGAGGAGGCAAGAAGGGGCTTGCAGTTTAACGAGGATGAAGATAGGGGCTCTTACTGTAATCTCGGAGGGTTCGGAAAGGCGGTTTCGAGGTCGCACCGGCGGAGGCCGCGGAGGGCGGTGGAGGCGCGGGGAGGAGGAGACGGAGGTCGCGAGGCGGGGCCAGGCTGTCCGTGGTGATGCACGTGGCAAGCGGGCGGCGAAGCGGGGAAGATCGGGGCGGGGTCGGCTTGGGATGGGGGTCGAAGATCTGACCGCGGAGATTTTGGGAGAGCAGACGTGGTATGGATCCGAGAAGCGGCAGGCGGTGGTGAGGGCATTTGGAAATCGCGGTCGGGTGATAGGGTGAGCGCAGGGGTGGGGGCTACAGGAGACAGAGTGAGAGAGAGAGAGAGAGAGAATTGGGGCTGAGCGTTTTTGACTTTTGTTTGGGGGGGACTTTTCGAGTCAAGCGTAGGCGAGATATTTTATTGGGGGAGGAGATTACGGGTGCGGATTTGTTGGTAGGATTGGATCCGAAACGGATTTGTTTGTGACTGAGGACCTTTGTCATTTTACTTTGTGCATAGTTACCGCGTGGATCGCGCCATCAAATATAATTTTTAGATTGTTTCTTGAGCACGTACGTACGTATTACAGGTGTACTCCCATTCTACGCATTTTTAGACTGATGTACTCTCTCTCTCTCTCTCTCTTAAATGAGATGATGATACAAGCTCATTCTCTTTGAGGCAATGCTCGTATTTAGAAAACGTTTGAAAAAATAAAACATCACCACAAAACTGATGACCTCACTTGAGCTAGATTTCATTTAATAAGTGTGAAAGTAATAATAAAATTAAAAAAACAAGTCAATTTTGGTGGTGATGTTAGTCAAACAACATATCGCACTCGGTGAATCTCACGGTTTACGCCGTACCAAGGAGCTTTGCGAGCCCGGAGGTGTGAATATTATAGCAGCAGTTAGCCAATTAGAAAAATGTGAAGCTAAATGTTATGCAAAACTAAGTATTACATCACGCGGCATGGTGTGAGCCACTTCTAGAGCTTATATGAGTTATGTTTAAGATCCAGATCACCTAATTGTGATACTGGAACCGAGCAACTATAATGTCATAAGAAGGACATTGTATATATAATGTGAAGCGATTGTGATGCTGCAAATGTTAGTCTCATGTTGAAGGGTATCAGTGAAACATTGACTAGTCAATTCCGTCAATACTTGAGTCAATGGGCTCCCATCATTTACATCGCCCAAACAGGCTCGTGGCCCGTCATGTATAAAACACACATTTTTAGGCCCATGCAAACTTTGGGCCCTACGGCCCAATACATGAAACGAACTAGCCGTATCAAATAAAGATCACCAACGATCCGAATCCAGCAGAACTTGAAGAAGACGGTGGGCACAGCAGTCGATCTCAGTCCCCAAATCGCCATGGATCGAGTCCAGTTGCTTCTCCTAGGGTTTCCCCTCTTCCTCTTCTGCTCCGATCTCATCTCCCTCTTCTCCACTCGT